CCGGGGGGGGAGGAACACTGAGGTTTTGAGGTGTCACCAAGGGTTTGGAGGTGCCACCACTGCCACGACTTCACTCCCAATCCACGACAAGCCCTGCACCACAGCACCATGGTGTCCCCTCTGTGTCCCTGCAGTGTACCAGGGTGTCCCTGCAGTGTCCCAGGGGTGTCCCAGGGTGTCCCCGCAGTGTCTCAGGGTGTCCCCACAGTGTCCCCTCACTGTCCCACGCTGTCCCCGTCCCCAGGCATCGACCTGCAGCGCGTGTTCGAGTACAGCGAGTACTGGGAGGCGGCGCGGGGCCTCTACGCCGCCTTCGACTGCACGGCCACCATGAAATCGGGCAATGCTGACGTGTACGAGAACGAGATCCCGGGCGGGCAGTACACCAACCTGCACTTCCAGGCCCACGCCATGGGGCTGGGACACAAGTTCAAGGAGGTCAAGAAGGCCTACACGGAGGCCAACAAACTGCTGGGGGACCTCATCAAGGTGGGGCGGCCTCATCTGAGGGGTGGGGGGAGTTTGGGGGGTAAGGGGGTCTCTGTGGGGTGGGTGTTCCACCAATGCGTGACCCCTGTGGTGATCCTCGAGGTGACCCCTGGGCTGACCCTTGAGATGACCACAGGGTGACCCCGAGTTGCCCCATGAGTTAAACCAAGAGTTGGCTCTGAGGTGACCCTGTGGTGGCCCCTGGTGACCTCCTGGTGGCCCCGCAGGTGACGCCCACCTCGAAGGTGGTTGGGGACCTGGCGCAGTTCATGGTGCAGAACAAACTGTCCCGGGAGGAGGTGGAGGCGCGGGCGGACGAGCTCTCCTTCCCCCTGAGCGTGGTGGAATTCCTGCAGGGACACATCGGGGTCCCCCCAGGGGGATTCCCCGAGCCCTTCCGCTCCCGGGTGGGTCCTGCTGGGCACTGGGAGGGACTGGGAGGGACTGGGAGGGACTGGGGTGGATTGGGCGGGACTGGGGGAGGGACTGGGGTGGACTGGGCGGGACTGGGAGGGTTTATTTGAGGCTGTCACCATGACAATGGGATGCTGTGGTCCCTGCTGCCGTCTCCATCACTGGTTGCCATGGCACCCACAATGGTCCCTAATTCCATTTGCCATGGCACCCGCTCCTAATTATGGCTCCTGGTGCTGTTGTCATGGTAACCGAGCCTAGCAACAGGTTCTGTAAATGGTTACCATGGTACTGAGCCCTGACAACAGCTTCTAGTGAAGGTTACCATGGCAACCAGCCCTAGCAACTGGTGCTAACAGCAGTTCCCCATGATGAATGTCATGGCAACCATGCCTAACAACAGCTTTTAACGATTGCTGCTGTGTCCCCCATTCCGTTACCATGGTATCCCCCCCGTTACCCTGCCCCGTTGCCATGCCAACGTCCCGTTACCCTGCCCCGTTGCCATGGTACCACCCCTTCCCGTGCCCTGTTACCCCGCTCCGTTGCCATGGTGTCCCCCCGCCCCGTTGCCATGCCAACGCCCATCCCCGCCCTCCCCAGGTGCTGAAGGAGCTGCCGCGGGTCGAGGGGCGCCCGGGGGCGTCGCTGCCCCCGCTGGATTTCGAGGCGCTGGGCCGGGAGTTGGGGGCGCGGCACGGGACCCCCCCCAGCCCCGAGGAGCTGCTCTCGGCCGCCCTGTACCCCAAAGTGTTCGACGAGTTCCGCTCCTTCAGCAGCACCTTCGGGCCCGTGGCCTGCCTGGGCACGCGGCTCTTCCTCGAGGGACCCACCATCGCCGAGGAGTTCGAGGTGAGGGGCTGGGAGGGCACTGGGAGGGCACTGGGAGGGCACTGGGAAGGGACTGGGAGGGGATTGGGACTGGTGCACTCTTGGAACTCCTTGCACAGCCCTGGAGCCCTGCACGCACACCTTACACACTCCTTACATGCTCCTTACACACCCTTTACACGTCCTTTGCTCTTCACACACCCTGCCCTGCCCTTGGCACTTTGCACATCCTTTATGTGCCTTTTACACGCCCCTAGACTCTCTTACACACCACTTACTCACACTTTACTCACACTTTACTCACACTTTACTCACACTTTACTGGCAGGTGGAGCTGGAGCGGGGTAAGACCCTGCACATCAAGGCGCTGGCGCTCGGGGACCTGAACGCCGCCGGGCAGCGCGAGGTTTTCTTTGAGCTCAACGGGCAGCTGAGATCCATCCTGGTCAGGGACACGCAGGCACTCAAGGTGGGACACGGGGAGGGGACTGGGGGGGAGTTTGGAGGGATTTGGGGGGGGGTTGAGGGGATTTTGGGATGATTTGGGATGATTTGGGGGGAGTTTGGAGGGATTTGGGGGGGGGATTGAGGGGATTTTGGGATGATTTGGGGGGAGTTTGGAGGGATCTGGGGGGGCTCCAGGAGCTCCTGACCCACCTGAGGAGCTCTGGGTGACACAGGGATGACCCAAAGTGACACAGGGGTGACTTGGGTGACACGAGGGTGACCCAGGGGTGACCCAGGGATGACTTTGGTGACACAAAGGTGACCCAAGGTGACTTTGCTGACACCCAAATGCCCGACCCCCCCCCCCAATTTCCCCCCCCCAGGAGATGCACGTGCACCCCAAGGCCGAGAAGGGCGCCAAGGGCCAGGTGGGGGCCCCGATGCCGGGGGAGGTGGTCGAGGTGCGGGTCAAGGAGGGGACAACGGTGGCCAAGGGGGACCCTCTGTGCGTGCTCAGCGCCATGAAAATGGAGACCGTGGTGACGGCGCCCGTGGGGGGCAAGGTCACCAAGCTCCACGTGCGCCCCGGGCTCAGCCTCGAGGGCGAGGACCTCATCGCCGTCATCGAGTAGATTTGGGGGGGGGGATTTCTCTCCCCTCTCCCCCCCTCCCTCCCCCCCCAAAAAAATCCCCCTCAAATAACCCCAAAACTCCCCCCGGAAACGGCCTCGCAAAAATGGGACGTGGCCCCTTTAAGAGAGCCCCCCCCTCCCCTCCCCATGGGGCTGGGCGGTGCAACAAGGCCTTAATTAGGGGGGGTGTCTTAATTAGGGGGGGGTCACGTCTTAATTAAGGGGTCCCCCGTGAAGGGGGGGTCTGGCTTTGGGGGGGCGGAGCCCTAATTGGGGGGGTGTTCATTTTACTGGGTGGTACGATCCATGTGGGGGGGGGACACCCCCGATAATTGGGGTGCTCCCCCCCCCATTTTTTGGGCATTTCACCCCATATTTGGGGTCCTAAACTTTTTTTTGGGGAGGGGGGTGGAGCAGAGTTTGAGGGGGGGTCACCCCTTTTTGGGGGAGGGGCTTCGTGTCCCGCCCCCCTCCCCCCAGATTTTGTCCCCCTATTTTGAGCCGCCCTCCCCCACACATTTTTTGGGGTTCCCCCCCCCATTTTTGGGGGTTCCCTCGCACCTTGGGGGGCCCCACCCTGTCCCCATCCCTGCCAAGCTGCCTTAGGGGGATCTGGGGGATTCTTTGGGGGGAGGGGTGGGGTGGGTGTGGCCACCTCTCCCCCATCCCCCCCCTCCCCCCCTCTGCTTTTGCCAAACGCCCTCGGGAGTGGGGGAGGGGAGGGGGGCGGAGCCTGTGACCAAAGGGGGGGAATTGAACTGGACTTTGTGGGGGGAGGGGCCGGGAGGGGCCGCCCCTTCCCCCCCTCCCTGCGGGGAATGAACTGGAGGGGGAGGGGCCGCCCCTCCCCCACTCACCCCCTCCCCCACCCCCCCATTCCCGGGGGGTCCCGGGCAATAAAAACTGGACTAACACAGTGTGGTGTGGGGGAGTGGCTGCGGTGACCCCCCCAGGTGACCCCAAGGTGTGGGGGTCCAAAGGGGGGCGTGTCCTCATCACAAGGGGCGTGGTCAGTGAGCACAGAGGGGCTTTAATTTCCGGGGGGCCCCTCCCAGGCCCCAAAGTGGGCGTGGCTTCAACCCCAAATCCCCACACCTGTCCCCCAATGGGCGTGACCTCCATTCCTTGGTGGGTGTGGCCTCAGAGCATCGCTTCCCCACCCCAAAAATGGGCGTGTCCCTCCCCCAATAGGTGTGTCCCTGCCCCAAATGGGTGTGTCCCCCATGGGCGTGTCCCTCCCCAGAACCGGTGTGTCCCTGCCTAAGTGGGCGTGTCCCTACCCCGAAAATGGGCGTGTCTCCATGTGGGTGTGTCCCCCTCATGGGCGTGTCCCTCCCCTAAATGGTTTTAATCCCCCCCCCAAAATTGGGTGTGTCCCCCACCCCATCCAGGTGTGTCCCCTCCTATCCGGGCGTGTCCCCCCCACCCCATCCAGGTGTGTCCCCTCCTATCCGGGCGTGTCCCCCACCCATCCAGGTGTGTCCCCCCCCCACCCCATCCAGGTGTGTCCCCCCCCCCCCCTTTGTTCATCCCCCTAGGGGGGCGGGGCGGCGCGGGGTGGGGCGGGGCGTGGCGCGGGCGTGGCCGCGGCTTTGCGGGCCAGCTTGGCCAGCAAGGGGCTGTGGGGGTGGCGCTGGCGCAGGTGAGCCAGGTGAGCGTCCTGGCTGTCGGCGGTGCCGCCGCACTCCTCGCACACGTAGAGCTTGGCCCGGCGCTCCTTGTAGCCGTAACGCTGCGCCACGCCGTGGATCTTGCGCAGGTGAGACTCCAGCGAGCAGCGCTGCGTGAAAGCCTTGTCACACAGGGAGCACTTGTAGGGACGCACACCTGGGGACAGGTGGGGACAGAGGGGACAAAGCCCCGTCACACAGGGAGCACTTGTAGGGACGCACACCTGGGGACAGGTGGGGACAGAGGGGACAAAGCCCCGTCACACAGGGAGCACTTGTAGGGACGCACACCTGGGGACAGGTGGGGACAGAGGGGACAAAGCCCCGTCACACAGGGAGCACTTGTAGGGACGCACACCTGGGGACAGGTGGGGACAGAGGGGACAAAGCCCCGTCACACAGGGAGCACTCGTAGGGACGCACACCTGGGGACAGGTGGGGACAGAGGGGAGGTCGGGGCTGTCACTGTTGTCCCCGTCCTGTCCTGTCCTATCTCCATCCCTGTCCTGTTAAAATCCCGTCCCAGCTCCGTCCCCACCTGTGGCTTCATCCCCATTCCCATTTCTCATCCCACCCAATCCCAATCCCGACCCCGTCTGGACGTGGCGCTTGAGCTCAAAGGTGTCATTCCACCCCAGTCCCACCCTGACCCCATTCCCGGCCCCGTTCCCTCCCGTTCCCACCGGTGTGGGTGCGGACGTGGCGCTTGAGGTCGAAGGTGTCGTTGAAGCCCTTCCCGCAGTACGGGCACCGGTGTCGCTTCACCTCGCTGTGGCACTTGAGGTGCCGGTTCAGCATCCGCTGGAACCCGAAACTCTTCTGGCACACGGGGCACGAGAAGAGCTCGGAGCCCCCCGGGACCCCCCCGGCCACCGGGACCCCCACGGGGACCCCCCCGGCCAGGGGCAGCCCCGGGGGGAGGGGAGCGCCCAAAGGGCCGGACGGGACCTGCGAGTGAGGGGAGGAAAGGGTTAAATGGGGGGGGACCCTGGTTATGGGAAACCCCCCCCCCCCCTTGGCAGCCCTGGGGACCCCCAGTTATGGGGAGGGCCCTGATTTTGGGGACCCCTTCTGTCGTGGGGATCCCCAACCTCGAGGGACCCTCCAGCCCACCTTGGTGACCCCCCTCGCTTTTGGGGCCCCCTCCTCAAACCGGGAACCCGCAGGTTTGGAGATTTCCCCCCCCCAGCCTGGGGAACACCCCCCCCCACCACCAGGAATCCCCCAGTCCCAGGGACCCCCCAGTTTGGGAACCCCCAATCTCAGTCCCTCCCCCCCCCTCCTCCAGTCACAGCTTCCCCCCCACTCCAATTTGGGCACCCCCAGCTCACTTTTCCTCCCCCCCCGCATCCCTCCAGGGCTCCCCATATTTGGGGTCCCCCCCTTACCTTGCCCTTGGGGTGCAGGAAGGGGCCGGGGGGGGCGCGGGGGGGCAGCGTCATGTCCAGGGGGGACGCGGGGGCTTCGGCCACGGCCGGCTCGGGGTCCCTGCGCAGGGGGCAGCCCCCCAGGCAGACTGGGGGGGGAGGGGCACGGCGTCAGGGGGGGTTCCTGCACCCCCAAATCCCACCCCCGGAATGGGATCCACCCCCAAAAATAATCCCGCCCAATGGGGACACCCCAAATGTCACCTCCCCCCTCCTCAAATCGGACTCCACGATGGGGACGCCCCAAATGTGACCCCCCCCCCCCTCCTCCCCGAGGACAGGAGGAGGATTTGGGGGCGCCCCTCCCCCGCTCCCCTCCCCCGCCCTTTGGGGTTCCCCCGACCGGTCCGACGGCTCCGGCCGCGACACCCCAAATTACAGCCCAAATTACAGCCCAAATTAGGGGTTTCCGGCGGGTGTCGCCCGCGTGGGCCCCGGGGGGGGGACGCCACCCCCCGCCCTCCCCGCCCCCCCCGCGGGGGGACACAGGCGACACCCAAAAATCCCCTCCCCCACCAAGGGACACAGGCCGGCAGCCCCAAAATCCGCCCTAAAATCACCCCCCAAAGGCATCTGGACACCCCAAAATCCCTCCCCAAACCCTCCTGGGTGTCCGGGCACCCTAAAATCCCTCCCCAAACCCCCCCATCCCCAGCGTCTGGATGGGATTTTGGGGCTGAACCCCAACTCTGTCATTAAGGGGAGGAGGAGGAGGTCACCCCAAAACCTAGGAACCTTCCAAAATCGGGGTCCCTGAAACTCCTGAATCCCCGAAAATTCCTGAATTTCTGGGTTCCTCCAAAACATCTGGAACTCCCCAAGTTCCTGAGACACCTCCAGACTTCTGCTCCCCTGAATCCCAACTGACACCTGAGTCCCCCAAATTCCTGCGGGTCCGGGGACACCGGGCCTCCCCCCCAGATCCCGGAACCCCCTCAAATCCCAGCTCCCAAGAGATCTCTGCCCCCCCCAAATCCCTGTGCCCCTCCAAATCTCCTTCTTCCCCCCCATACTGGGCACGTAGATCTCGGCCCGCTGTTCGTCCGGGAGCTCGCTCCAGTTGCGCTTGGCCGTGGCCACCACCGGCTTCTTGACCAGGAACGCTCGCGGCATGGCCGGACCCCGGTGGATCCCGGTGGATCCCGGCCCGATGGATCCCCCGCGGGATCCCTGCTCCCACCCCCGGGTGGTTTTGGTGCCGATCCCCGGCTCCTGGCGGGGCTGGATCTCAGATCCCGGCGCTGATTCCTGGCTGAGTTTGAGCCCAGATCCGGAGGGTTTGGTCAACAGCCACAGGCGATCCCAAATCCTCGGTCAGTTTTGGTGCTGGATCCCAAATCCGTGGCCAGTTTTGATGCCAGATCCCGAGTATTTGGTCAATATCCACACCAAATCGCAGATCCTTGTTGGATTTTGATGCCAGATCCCCAGGATTTGGTGAATTTCAGCTCCCGATCCCAGATCCCAGGTCGGGTTTGGTGCTGGATCCCCAATCCCGCCGGGTCCCAGCGCTCGGAGGATCCCAGATTCGGGCTCAGATCCCGGGGATTGGAGCAATCCCGGCTCCTCCGCTGGGTTTTGCCACCGGATCGATCCCGATACCGGCTCCGGCCCCTCAGCGCCTCCCGAGCGCGGTCCCAGCTCCGGCGTCACCGCACCCGCTGTCACCACAGCCGGTGTCACCGAGCCCGCGGTGTCCCCTCAGTGCCACCGGGGCCGCCTGCGCTGTCCCGGTGTCAGCGGTGCCGGTCCCGGCTCTGTTATCCCGGTCCTGGTTCTGTTATCCCGATCCTGGTTCTGTTATCCCGGTCCCGGCTCTGTTATCCCGGTTGTCCTGGTTCTGTTATCCCGATTGTCCCGGTGCTGTCCCGGCTGGGTTATCCCGGTTGTGCTGCTGCCGGTTCTGTTATCCCGGTTCCGGCTCTGTTATCCTGGCTGTGCTGTCCCGGTGCCGGTCCTGCTGGTTCTGTTCGTGTTGTCCCGGTGCTGTCCCAGTCCTGTCCCGGTTCTGTCCCGGTCCCAGCAGCGCTGTCCCGGTTTTGTCCCGGTTCTGTCTCGGTCCCAGCGGTGCTGTCCCGGTTCTGTCCCGGTTCTGTCCCGGTCCCAGCGGTGCTGTCGCGGTTCTGTCCCGCTCCCAGCGGTGCTGGCCGTGCCGTGCCGTGCCGTGCCGTGCCGTGCCGTGCCGGTCCGGTCCCGGCGGTGCCGCCCCGCTGCGCGTCCCCCGTCCCGCCCCGCGCTGTCCCGGACCGGTTCCGCCGGTCGGGCCGGGGCCGCGCCGCAGCCGGAGCCGGTCGGGCGGGCGCCGCTTGGGAAATAACGGGGAGCCCCCGCCCCGGCCTGGGGACACCGCGGGACGCGGGGACACCGCGGGGGGGACACGGGGGGCACCTGGGGACAAGAGGACATCGGGACAGCCACTGGGGGGGCATTTGGGGATGGGGACATGAGGACTTTGGGACATCGGGGACACAGGGATGGGGACATTGGGGTACCTGGAGAATTTGGGGTGAGCTGGACAGGGGGACACTGGGGATTGGGACATGGGGACATTGAGCTGGGGATGTCAGGAGGTCACCTGGAGAGACCGGGGGGGTCACCTGCACACCTGTGTCCCCAGGGGGGGGTCAGGGTGTCCCTGGGGGGTCACCTGGACACCCCAGGTCCGGGTACGTGCCGCCGGGGCGGGTCCCCGATGCCCCCGGTGGGGGCGGGTCGGGGAGAGCGGCCAGTCCGACCGGCCCGGGGGGGACCCGGGGGGGGGGACAGGTCCTACAGGGGCCCCGGGGGGGCTCTGGGGCTCTCTGGAGTCCCCACAAGGCACCTGTGGGTACCCCCGCACACTATGACGTCACTCTATGTGGTATATGACGTCAGCCATCCCGGGTGTGACATCACCATTCCCGCGGCCACGGCGAGGGGGAGGAGCGAGACCCTTGGGGGGGCGGTGTGACGTCACAACCCCACCGCCGTTTCCCCCCGGCCGTGGCGAGGGTGTGACGTCACGGAGGGGGCGGGCTGTGACGTCAGGCGCTCCCGGCAGCCCCCGCGGCCATGGCGGGGGGGGGTCCCTGGGCCCGGCTCGCGGCCGCGCTCGCGCCCCCCGCGCCCCCGGCGCTGCGCCGGCCCCGCCCCTCGTTACGTCATCAGGTGTGCGCCGGCAGCGAGGGGCGGGGCCGGGAGGGCGGGAGGGGTTTGGGGTCACCTGGGGGGGATTTGGGGTCCCCCAAACTCCTGCGCGGGGGGGGGGGGGGGTGTGATCTGGGGGGCTCCTCCCTCATTTCTCCCCCCCCCCCTTCCAAATTCCAGACGGAGCTGCTGCTGCTGCTGCTCGAGACCCCCCGGGCTCTGTGCGGGGAGGGGTCCCCGGCCGAGGGGGGGGGTCCCGGGGGGGCTCTGCTGGAGCTGCTGGCCCAGCCCCCCGCGCCCCCCCCCGCGCCCCCCCGCGCGCTGCTCCTGCTCGCCACCCTGAGCGTGTTGGTGGCCACCGGGGACCGCGCGGGCACCGCTGCGCTCGCGGCGCTGCTGCTGCGGGCGGGGGGCGCGGGGGGGGCCCCGGCGGCGGCCGCCGAGTGCCTGCGGGAGCTGCGGCGCCTCGGGACCCCCGGGGACCCCCCCAGACCCCTCGGGACCACCCAGACCCCCGGGGGTCCCCCTGAGTCCATCGGGAGCATCCAGAGCCCCGCCGGGGACCCCCCCGGGACCCTCCGGGAGACCCCCGGGCTGCAGCCCCTGGTGCTGCTGCTGGCCGAGGGGGCGGGCGGTGAGTGGGGGGCGACCGGGAGGGACTGGGGGCGTCCCAGTGTGTCCCAGTAAGAGCTGGGAGGGTCCCAGTCAGTCCCTGCAAAGGTTGAGGGGGTCCCAGTAAGGACTGGGAGGGTCCCAGTATGTCCCAGTAAGGTCTCAAGGGGTTCCAGGAAGAGTTGGGAGGATCCCGGTTGACCCCAGTAAAGGTTGTGGGGGTCCCAGTAAGGACCGAGAGTATCTCTGTAAGAGTTGGGGGAGTCCCAGTAAGGACTGGGAGGGTCTCAGTCAGGGCTGGGGAGTTCCCAGTAGGGATCCTGGGGAATCCCACACGGGAACTGGGAGGGATCTCAGTAAATTCCATCATTGTACTGGGATAATCCCGGGGAAGGATCCCAGTATATCCCAGTACGGTACTGGGAGCATCCCTGGGGAGATTTGGGGGAACCCCCGGCCCCCCCCCCAACCCCTGATCCCTTTCCCCCCAGATCCAGCACATTCCTGGGAAGAGGCTGGGCCGGATCCCGGTGAGTCCCAGGGACCCCCCCCGGGACCCCCAAATCCCAGGGATGCCCAGGATTCCTCCCCAAATCTCAGCTCCCCCCAAACCCTCGGGAGCCCCCATTTCAATCTCCTGCAAATCCCGGAGACCCCTCCCCAAAATTCCGACTCCCTCAAATCCCAGACCCTACCGAACCCAAATTTCTGACGCCCCCCACCCTCTCTTCCAGGCCCCCCCTCCGCCTTCAGCCTCACTCCGGCCGCCCGGGCTCAGCTGCTGCAGCTCCCCGATTTTGGGGGTGTCCCTGGGGGGACTCCCCCGGTTTTGGCCACGGCAGACCCGGCTCCGGTGCAGGCGCTGCTGCTGCGGGGGGGGCCGGGTTTGGGTTTGGGGGGGCCCGGTTTGGGTTTGGGGGGGCCCCGTTTGGCGGCGCTGGCGCTGCACCCCGCCCTGCCCCCTCCCTTGCGCCTCTTCTTCCTCCTCTGCCTCCTCGAGGGGGGGGACCCCAAAAAAACCGGGGCCGGCGGCCCCCCGGCTCTGCCCCCCCACTTGGCCGCCGCTCTGTTCCCGGGGGTGGGCGGGGACCCCCCCGAAATGTTCCTGCCCCGTTTCGAGGCGGCGGCCGCGTTCTGCTCCCAAATTTCGGGGGAGTCTCCGAGCGGGGGGAGCCCCCCACCCAGAATCCAGGGGGGGCGGGAGTGGCTGTGGGGGCTGGTGCGGTTTTTGGGGGGTGGCCCCCCCGTTCTGTTCTGCCGGGCCGTGGTCGCCTACGGGTGCTGGTTCGGGGGGGTCCCCGAGGGGGAACTGGGGGGGCTGGCGGAGAAATTATTGGGGGGGGGTCACCCCGCGGCCCCCCCGCACCTGCTGGAGCTCGCCAAGGTTTTGGGGGGAGCCGTCGGGGGGGCTTTGATGGAGCAAGTCCTGCGGGCCCCCCCGCCCCCTCCCGGCACCCCCCAGCTCCGGGGGGTGCTGAAGGTGCTGCGCGACCCCCCCGGGACCCCCCTCTCCCAAATGCACCCCCAGATCCGGGGGTACCTGCGGCGGGTGCTGGCGGCCGAGCGGGGGGGCTGGGGGGGGTCCCAGAGGGTCCTGAGCGCCGCCGCCCCCCTCCTGCCCTGGGGGGTGGTCCCTCTGTGCCCCCCCCCGACCCGGGACCCCCTCGATTTTTGGAGAGGGGACCCCGACGTGCGGGACCGCGGCCGCCTCCACTCGGCGCTGGCGGCCGCTCTGGGCCCCCCCAAATTGGCCGCGGTGTTGGGGCCCCCCCC